GTGAGCACTGCCCATTCTTAAATCAGATTTATTTATGTATTTATTTCTACCACACATTATGACTCCTGATGTGCTTTACTATTAATCCCTTCTCTGATGTATGACTTGCAAATGTTTTCCCCCAATCTGTGAGTTGTCTCTTCCCTTTGTTGTTTCCTTTACTGTGCAGAAATGTACTGATTTAATGTATTTGTACTTGTTTATTTTTGCTGTGTTGCCTATTCTTTTGGTATTATATCCAAAAAAAACTGCCAAAGTCAGTGTCAAAGAACTATTTCCCTGTGCTTTTTCTAGTATTTTTATTTTCTCTGGTTTTATATTTCAGTCTTTAATATATTTGGAGTTAATTTTTGTGAATATTATAACACAGGGTCCAGTTTCGCTCATTTGCATGTGAATATTCAGTTTTCCCAGCACTGTTCACTGAATATGCAAGCTTTTCCCAATGGTATATTCTTGTCAAAAGTTAGTTGACAGGCCAGGGATTTAGCTTAGCGGTTCGGTGGCCTGCCTTGCAAGCGCAAGGACCTGAGTTCAATCCCCGGTACCAAAAAAAGTTAGTTGACAGTATGTGGATAGATTTACTTCTGGCCTGTCCATTCTCTTCCTCTGTTTCTGTTTTGGTACCACTGTAATACAGTTTGTTCAGAATTCTTCTTTTCTGTAATCACTCCAGTGTGTGTGTATGTGTGTGTGTGTGTGTGTGTGTGTGTGTGTGTGTGTGTGTGTGTGTGTGTGTATGTTGAGGTGGACAAGGAAGTGACATTGGGTGAGGAACAAGCACAATTTATAAGTAACAAATACTATTAGTAATATTCTGAACCTTGCATAGTATTAGCTACTGAGAGAGAATCAGAGGTAATAAAATGTTTTTTACCCTTAAATGTATTCTTTTAAGAACTAGGTAAGAAAAAAAGTGGTGCACACATGAGAAGTAAAATAATAGCATTAGTAGATGATTGTGCTGAAGAAGTCATGGTGTGCATCATCATAGCTAAGGAAAGCTTTGTTGTGAGCAAATGGTCCTAGAGGGCATGTTACAACAGAAGACAAGTTGCAGTAGTGGCATCTGTGCCTTCTGTGAAATATGTTTCTCTTGCTATAGGAAATACAGTGTCTCCATCTAACAAGATAGCCAGGTTGGAACAAAGAAAAGAACCATGGACTGTAGGCCTACATTCCTCAAATAAGAGAAATGTCCTACAAAGCACCTATGTCAAGGAGAAGTCAGTTCATGCTGTTCAGATCCCCTCAAGGAATCCTGGAAAAACATGGAGAGATCAGCAACAGTGGGGTGTAGAAGATGAGAAAATAGCAGGTGTGCACTGGAGCTACGAGGAAACTAAGACTTTTCTTGCAATTCTCAAGGAGTCTCGTTTCTATGAAACACTTCAGGCTTGTCCCCGAAATAGCCAGGTGTATGGTGCTGTGGCTGAATGGTTGCGGGAATGTGGCTTCCTTCGCACACCAGAACAGTGCCGAACCAAGTTCAAAAGCCTTCAGAAGAGTTATCGAAAAGTAAGAAATGGCCACATGCTAGAACCCTGTGCCTTCTTTGAGGACATGGATGCTTTGTTGAACCCTGCAGCCCATGCTTCATCTACTGATAAGCCAAAGGAGATTGTATCTCTCCCCAGACTAAAGAGAATTGGTATTAGTGCTAAAGAACAGATCACTTTGGTGGAGGAAGAAGCTGCAGAAGAATCTGATGGTGATGAAATGGGCATTGAATTTATCCACAAGCCTGAAATTCATGGTGCCCCTGTCTTATTTCAAAATCTGAGTGGTAAGAATTGTGCTATTTTTCCTAATATGAAAATAGAATTTTATTCTTATGGAAAGGGGAAAGGGGTAGATGAGCACTAACCAAACCTGGAGAGTGCTGTCACACATGCCTTGCCACTTTTACTGTGATGTGACCCCGTAACTGGAGGTACCTTCAGGTGTTTGTTGCTATCCCCAGTGCAACTTAAATAACAGCAGTGAGTGACCGTGGAGGATTCTTTGTCAGCATAGCATGGATTTTAAGTATTTATAGCCTTGTGGATAGAAGATAAAAGGTTCTAAGGATCTAGTATTATCTGAGAATTAGGGTAAATCAATCAGTTATGTTGGATTGTATAAATTAAATTTGTTGTTACACCACCTAGTGTAACAGTAAAAGAATGTAACTATGAAGTTAAAAAAGTGAAAAAATAAAATATAAATTTTGATTTAATATAAAAAGAAAAGGAGGGCCAGCGATTTAGCTCAGCGGTTCGATGGCCTGCCTTGCAAGCGCAAGGACCCGAGTTCAATCCCCGGTACCAAAAGAAAAGGAGAAAAAGGAACCTAAAATAGATAACTCAAATAGAAAAAAGCATGGTATTAAAAAACAAATGTATTACTACTTACAAGTTTACAGGACTAAGAACACAGAGACATTAAGATTGAGAAGAGGCTTGGGGATGTAACTCAGTGGTACAGCACTCGCATAATAAGTAGGCATTGAGTTCAATCGCCAGTACAAAATTAAATAAAATTGAAAATATAAAAAGATATACCATGCAAAAGAAAGCTAATGTTAAATATTTAAGGAATGAGCATACAGAATTAAATTGCCTGTTAACTGTGTGGCAAAAATGCTTAACTCCCTTGGGCATCAGCTTTCTCATTTATTATATGTGACAAGGAATACCTCAGTGGCCTTTTATTACTATTTAGTGAGATATAGAGATGAAGGCACTCTGGAAATGCTAAAATACAATATTGCCTAGTATTGCTGTTATTAATAATGTCTTCTTGAGATATAGAGATGAAGGCACTCTGGAAATGCCAAAATACAATATTGCCTTATATTGCTGTTATTAATAATGTCTTTTCTGCTCCAGCTTACTAAGAGATGATTAATTCTTAGAATGAAATGGTAGATCAAGCTAGGCGATCTGAGAGTTCAAGATAAGTAATCCTGCTGAAAAGGTGATTACACACATATAGATACACACCAATTGGCAAATTCATAAATGTGAGGGTGAAGCTCTTGGGCTGGTCTCAATTAGAAGAGACCATACAGTAAAGACTGAAGATAGAAAACGGTTTTCTAAAAAACATTTTTAACAAATTATGTTCAGAGGTTCTGTTTTGTTCTTAGTAGAGAACATCAATTGTGCTCAGTCTATCGTCTCACTAAAGTAGAACATTTGGACATGGTTCTGATCCTCAAGGAAAACTGGTTAAAGAAGTGATAAGAAGTCAGGCTGAGGCAAGAGGATCATTACACGTTCGAGGCCTGGGCTCCACAGTGAGTTCAAGGCCAGCCTGAGCTACATAACAAAAAAGCAAAACAAAGTGATAGGAACTTGGGTCAGGGGGACAGTTCCTGTTGGGTGCTCTAGACCTTTATTCCTAACCACAATTGATAGCAGTACAATTTGAATCATCCTATCCAAAATTACAGTGTTTTATTTTCTCTAGTTCATTTATGTATTTCAATTTTATAAAGCAGAACTCATTTCTTACAAAGATTATTCCTAGATATATCATATTACCTGATGCTACTATGAATGGGATTATTTTTACTCTTACATTTTGTAATGTATACCATAGAGGATCCACCCTGCTTTGCTTGTATCTTTGATCTTTATCCTTGAATGGCAGGTGTGCACTGGGGCTACGAAGAAACCAAGACTTTTCTTGATATCCTTCATGAGACTCGATTTTATGAAGCACTTCAAGCTTGTCATAGGAAGAGCAAGTTGTATGGGGCTGTGGCTGAACAACTTCGAGAGTGTGGCTTCCTCCGGACACCCGAGCAATGCCGAACCAAGTTCAAAAGCCTTCAGAAGAGTTACCGCAGAGTTAAGAATGGTCATGTGCTAGAGCCTTGTGCATTCTACAAGGAGATGGATGCCCTAATTAACTTTCGGGCATCAGCCCCTTCTGCCGACAGCTCAGAAGAAGTCCTGTCAGCCTCAAGGCATGAAAGAGGACCTGTTGAGGTAGAACCCCAGGAACCTTCAGGCTGGGAACCTGAGACCTCCCAGGAAGCAGTAATAGAAGATTCTGGCAGTGAGAGAATGAGTGAGGAAGAAGTTGTACAAGAGCAAGAATTCCAGGGAACTCCAGGTCTACTGCAAAGTCCAAATGGTAAGGATCATCAGGGGTTTTTAGTCTAAAAGAAGAGAAAGTGTGACTTAGTGGAGAGTCTATAGATCTGGCACTTCGCTCATACATATTAACACATTTAGCAGGTACGTGAATGCCATGTGCCGTTTGAGGAATAGGGAATATAGAATGAATGAAACAGGTCCTGTTCTCAAGGTGCTTCCGTTTGGAGAAGGTACTTTCCTACTCACATTCTGGTAACTTTGAGATCTCAGCCTTGGTTTTTATCTGAATGGATCAGACAGTGTTTTGTATCCCCTGTGAATGAGTTTGGACTTACACATGAGAAAAAAAAATGGGATGAAGGAAGTTTGTCCACTGTGTCATGTCTCACAGTTATGTGATGTACATGAAGAAGAAAAGAGGCAGAGACAAAGCAAAAGACTATCTTCTGATTCTGAGCTCTGCCAGTTCATTTCCCACTGACTGCTGGATGCCCTCATAGGCAGATTTCATTGGTGGCTCAGACTTAAAATATTTAAAACTAATGTTGCCATCTTTCATCTCATATCACAGCTCTTCCTGTGTTGTCCTACAACTTACTCAGATTCACATCTTTAGGGGCAATTTTAATACCTCCTCATTGATCATTCACATCTAGTCAGATGATACACTGTAGAGTATCATGTTGTAGACTCTCACATCTGTCTGCCTCTTCTTTAGTTGCCATAGCCATGACCTTAGTTCAGTGTTGCTTTGTTTCTTGCATAGACTGTTGTAAAAGTCTCCAAACTAGATATCCTCATCCACACTTTTATTAAGGTTCCACAGCTATTCTTAATCTGAGCTCATCTTTTGCTTCTGACCTTATGTATTTATATTTTCTTTCCACAGTTTATGCTTATTCAAAACAAAACTACCCACTATTCCCTACACACTATGTAAGCCTTCACATTTAACCCTTACTTCATGATGTTCCCTCTACCTTAAATGTCCTTGGCTCTTCATATCTCCATGTTGAAATTCTTTCTCAACTCCACAAATGGCCTGTTTTGTGGCACAAGACACTTTATATGTTCTGAATCTCCCAATAAATTCAGAAGGATGGAAGTTCTATCTTTCTGCAGATCTGGGCTATATAAGAATATATGAGACAGTGCAGGGCTGATTTCTCAAAGCAAGTAACTCTGGATTGCCTGAATTGATTGGGGAACCAGTGCCCAGACAAGAGAAAGTAATGTCTAAATACATTAGAGAAGAGTGTTCATATATATGCCCTGGCAGTATTTACGAGAGAAACTACAGTATAAAGGGTAATTTCCATGTAACTTTGGTTTTGATAGCTCTGGAGATGAAGTCCTTGTAAATCTTGTTCTTAAAATAACTTCCAGATCTGTCATCAAATTATCAGGCTCGGTCTTAGTTATCTACTAGGCTGTGACGTCCTTCAAATCCTGGACAATGTCAGATCAAAGCTTCAGAAGTACTCCTCTAGGTGAAAAATACAACTGGTAGATCTTTCTGCTTAAATTAAAGAAGTGATTGATGAACATTCTTCTCTCTCCAGCCCTTGCCACAGCTTCCCTACCTGACCTTTAGCATTATTAGCAGTTTCACTTGAATGTGTAGAAGAAAGACATTGTTGAATTGCAAGTAGGAACAAGGCAGTCTAGCACACACTTGAGAACAAAGTTTTGAGAATCAAACCTGGACTGGGTTTGAGTTATTCAGCTTGTGAAATACTTATAGAAGACATGTGTGTCTTCTAAGATTTGTGACTAAGAAGTCTGGATACAGGGAGCAGAACATATGGAAATAGAGATGAAACATGATTATCCATAAATAGATCATTGTTAAAAGCAAGTAAGAGATTCGTAGCAGTTCATCATTCATGCTACTTCCTTTATTTCTCTGTACTTTTCAGTGTGCCATAAAAAAGTTTAATACAAAAGTCACACAGTTAATGACGGACCAAGATGAAATCAGATCAGAGACGTGATTCCAAAGCTGTATCTTTTCATCATGTTATGCTCTCTGTCCAGAAAACTTCACAGAAAAACTGTACCCAAGATGTACCTTATAGGTGAATGTGGATATAGGTGAAAGAGTAAAGAGAAAGCAATTCCAGCCTTGGGAACTGTGAAGATTAAGATTTGAGTTTGTGTGGTCTGTGGGACTGCCAAAAAAAAAAGAAAAGGTGGCAAAGACATCTGAGAAGAAAGAAGTGGTCTTGGATAGGATATCATTCTGTTGATGAATTTAGAAATTTCTTAAGGAGTTTGGACCTAGTCACTAGAATCTACTGCAAAGACTGGTAAAGTGTGGTATAGTATGAAAATAGTATATAGGAGTTTGGACCTAGTCACTAGAATCTACTGCAAAGACTGGTAAAGTGTGGTATAGTATGAAATAATGAAAATAGTATGAATTAGAGTAATGGTGCCCAACTTATTTGGCACCACGGACTCGTTTCTTGGAAGAAAATTTTTCCCTGGGGGGTAGAGGGCAAGTTTGGGACAAGGGCGCACACAACTTCAATCCCTCACCTCCCACATATAGTTTACAGTAAGATTCAAGCTCCTATGAGAATCTAATGCCTCTGCTGATCTTAAAGGAGGTATTGATGTAAGCCATGGGAAGCAGCTATAAATACAGATGAAGCTTTGCTCATTTACCAGTTGCTTACCTCCTGTTGTATGGCCAAGGTCCTAAAAGGCCACAGATTGGTACTAATCTGTGGTACAGGGCTTAGGAACCCCTGAATTAAGAGTGCAGCTTCTGGGAGATATGTCAAGTTGCTTCCTTGTTAATCAAGATAAGGGTACAGAAGAATTCCATTCAGAAACATACTTCAAAATCTACTGTGTAGTGGATGTCAATGGCCTGCTTATGTAACTGAAGGAAAATAAGACATCACAGAAAAGAGTCATAAGACCCAAGGCCCATGAAGTGTAGAGGGTTCATAATATGCTAAAGATTGTGGGTCTGGGGCTGAGGATTTAGCTCAGTGATTTCACCACCTACCTTGCAAGCCCCAGGTCCTGAGTTTGATCCCCAGTAACAAAAAATAAAGATTGTAGGTCTGGTTGTTTATGTTAATACAGAAGTGGTGTTAAATTTGTATTTTTTTTTCAGATTTTGAAATTGGAAGTAGCATTAAGGAGGATCCAACACAGGTAATATATAAGGACACAGAACCACATAGAGCATTAATAGAAAAATCCAAAAGAGTTGTTTCCCAGAATACTGATTCCAGCAGATATCACAAAAGGGAATGCATCTCAGGAAGACAGTGGGAAAACCTTCAAAGCATTAGACAGGGGAAGCTGATGGCCCAGCCTAGAGATCTAGGAAACGCTGTGATGCATCAGAAGCCCTTCATGGGGAGGAAACCCTACAGACTTCTCAAATATGGAGAGAGCTTTGGAAGGAGTGCTCGTCTTATGTGCCGGATGACCCATCAGAAGGAGAACCCTTATAAGTGTAGTGTCTGCGGGAAGTGCTTTGGTAGAAGCAGGAGCCTAATCAGACACCAAAGAATCCACACAGGGGAAAAGCCTTTCAAATGTCTTGACTGTGGGAAAAGCTTTAATGATTCCTCCAATTTTGGAGCCCACCAGAGAATCCACACAGGAGAGAAGCCCTACAGATGTGGGGAGTGTGGAAAATGCTTCAGTCAAAGCTCTAGTCTTATTATCCATCAGAGAACCCATACTGGCGAGAAGCCGTATCAGTGTGGAGAGTGCGGGAAAAGCTTTACCAACAGTTCTCATTTCAGTGCTCACCGCAGAGTCCACACTGGAGAGAATCCCTACAAATGTATGGACTGTGAGAAAAGTTTCAATAACTGCACAAGATTTCGAGAACACCGGAGGATCCACACTGGAGAGAAGCCCTATGGATGTGCCCATTGTGGGAAACGTTTCAGTAAGAGTTCTGTTCTCACCAAACACAGGGAAATTCATGTTAGAGAAAAACTTCTGCCACACCCTCTCTCTATGTATCCCCCAGAGAACCCACTGAAGGGGAAAGCCGATGACTTCAGGAAAACATTTTGATGATGAGCCCCTTTAGCCATCTTAGCCCAACCTCACTCACAGAAGCAGTCTTTTCTTAATCCAAAAGTTATTCTGTTCTCACCTCTGCCTCTAACTTGGTCCCCTTCCTCCCCCACATCTCTCTCTCTCTCTCTCTCTCTCTCTCTCTCTCTCTTTCTCTCTCTCTCTCTCTTGTTTCTCTCCATCTCTATTAGAGTGGGGAAGATGCATTGTCTGAGTTCAGAATGAACTTCTTTTCAGTATGTTGAGGTCACTGCTATTGGATTCCTAAATTCAGGAACATTTGAGATCCTTTTGTGTGGGTGAGAAGTGTTTTCAAGGAGATAAATACCAAAAGGATTTTTTTGTTTTTGTTGTTCTGGGTGCAGCTTGATAACAGATTTTCACATTTGGGTAGAACTTTCAGGAATCTGATCACAGCATATCAGATTGACCTCAGATTTTGAAGATACTCACAAAAGTAGAGTGAAATTTTATAGCCTCCTTAAGAAACCTGATACAATGTCCTTTTTTGTCAAGAAGTTGATCCAAATAGGGTAGATTCTCTGTTGTCACTGAAGTCATGTTACTAATGCCTCACCCTTATCATCACCTTCTGTACTTAAAGACTTGCAGCCCTGTGGCCACTGCTTCTCCAGCCCCCAAATAATCCCAGAGTGTTCCTCTTGCTGTGTCTCATAAAGCCTACATTTACCTCTTAATTTCGTGTGCTCTCATCTGGCTCTTCTGAACTACCATACTATCTGCATATCAAATAGGATGCGTGATTATGGTGTGTCTCATTAAAATAAAGTAGGATTTCAGACACATTCTACCCTCTAACTTCTCTGGCTCTAAATTTAAAATATTAGTGGCACATTGGCGTATTTTATACCTCCCAGCCCACATTTCAGTATAATACTATATAATAGGATTTCTGAAATTGTAAGGGAATAAGGGAAAAGTGAGATACAGACCTGAAAGGTTTAGTGGACTCAGGCCTGATTTATATCAGAGTCACCTCAGTCCAAACCAACACTTTTCAGGGCAAGCTGTTGGATATACCAGTCTATCTGAGGCTTCATTTCCTTTTTTCATAGGGTCATAAACCTAACTGTACAGCCCTGATTAATTATACAACTCTACAGCTCACTAAGTGAAAGTGGAAATATTTATAGAAACTTCCCATCCAGAATACCATTTTTGTTTGTTCCCCATATATGTTTGTCTGCAAATCTCTTTGATAACCTCCCAGCACCATCACAGTAAATATGAGTAGAATGGTTTAGATGGCGGGGGGATAGTTAATTCATGTATGTTACAGGTGAAACCCAGGGATGTGATCTTTCAAAGCCAGGCTTCAAGATGAAGCGAGTGGCATTTATACCCTCAATACACAGCTAACCTAGGGTGGCTTTGCTTTGGGGAGGGAAAAGTCACAAGTTTAGAGGAAAAGTAATCAGAGTCAGGACTATATGTAGATTATTCTTCTGTTTGTAACTGTCCCTTCCTTTGTCAAATGCTGTCTTATTTGAAGACACCTAGGGATAGTATTTTCCTTCAAGTATGTCTGAATCTTTTGAAAGCTGTTGAGCAGTATACCAAGGAAGGTAGGCACTATTGAAAGAAATCCAGTTTATGGTGCCAGAATAAGGTGTGGCCTGTTGGAAGGCAGGTGACTCAGGTAAACATTGATGAATGTTTCTGATTTACATTTATTGGAAATGTTCTGATTGTTCACATCAACATACTTGATTTCCTCTGTGTTGTCTGAACTATAGACTTCTAATGGTACGTGCAGTTTCATGTTGGTGATTGTGCCTAGCACAGTAAGATGTGTTTGATGCCAGTGGGCTTGTGCTTATATTGTGTAGATGTTCTGGAATTCCAATTCTAGAGAAGATACACACTAATATAAATCACCACTTAGTAATATGTACACAGGATTGATAATTACATGGAAGCATGATTCAGGAAAGTAGATGATGTATTCGTAAATATTTAATAAGCACTGTTACATGTAAGATCATCTAGCTGTAGTGGGGTATATGAAAAATTTTTAAAGGAGCATGATGCCTATATCTAAGGACATTACAGCGTGATCAAGGACATGTTGAGGCAAAAAGTAATGCCCATTACATTCATGTTGGTTGCACAAAGTCAATCAAAAAGAAATCACCTTGAGCCAGGGATTTAGCTCAGTGGTTCCACTGCTTGTCTCACAAGCATAAGGTCCCAAGTTTGATCCCAGTACCAAAAATCAAAACAAAATCACCTTCACTTCCTGGACAGTTTCTCTAAATTACAAATATGAAATCATATTTGGTACCACTGTTTCTCACACTTCCCCAATGAGAAGAAAGGTTGAAGGCCTTATCTCCCTCCAGTGGAACAGTCTCTCATATGTCTGGGATCAAGCTAAGGTTAGGTTCCCCTACTTGAATTCCTGATTGTAAATAGGCTGTTGGGCATGCTTTAATGAATCTGTCTCTATTTTAACTAAATAGAAGATTTTACCATTTTAGACCAAGGTTACTGTCTCCCTGCATTTTCTCTCTTTTCAAGCTGAAACATGAAAGTTAAAATGAATAATCACAGCCAGGGATTTAGCTCAGTGGCACTGCACCTGCCTGGTGAGCACAAATTCCCAAGCTCAATTCCCGGTACCGAAAAACAAACAAAAAAGACTGTTCAGACTGGATTCCTACATGCAATCCTCCAGTCTCAGCCTCCCAAGTAGCCAGGCCTATGGACACATAATCACTGTACCTAGCAAAAACACGTTTTGGGCTGGGAATTTACTCAGTGGTGCCACCACTGGCCTCACAAGTGCAGGATCCCAAGTTCAATCCCTGGTACCAAAAAAAACAGAATAATCACAGTTCTAAGTAGCTTATCTTTTATATCATAACATTGCCTCTATGAAGATCCATAGGAAAATCTTATTTTTTTCTAGATCTCAGTACTAGAGACTGCTTTGATTCTCAGAAAAAAAAAATTACAAACACTG